TTGTACATCTTTTTGTCTTTTTAATCTGCTGCATAAACGAAGTTGAAGGAGAGAATTTTCAGGATGTTTGGTATTAAGATTTTTCTTTCCTATCTTGGGCTTTGTAGGAAATGATATGGGAACCCCACCCACCCCCCCAATCATTAATTAATCTGAAAAAATCATGTCATCAGTTCAATTATAACCTTCTTTTCTATTTGGTCACATATTATAAGGAATTATATCTGAAAAATCATCTCCTCAGATTTCAAGCAAAGTGTGGTGTAGTGTAGATTATTTGAAAATGTTTCTTTTTATGATTTGGTGGGAGGGTGGGGCATGTATATGATTAAGGTAGCTGGCTTTCTCAAGATGGTTGCAGAACTTTTAAATTTATGATCTCCACATTTTCTCTATTTTGTCTTTTTATTTTCACGATATTCCATCCCCACCACCTTTCAAAAGTTTTTCTGACAAAATAAAGTAATGCAATTCTCGAGTTATTTGTTACATCAATACTTTGCAGTTTATGCATTTAACCAAAGTACTATTGAGAGGAGAAGAAAGTCCTTCCCAGTCAGCGCCTTTGGTGTACCAATTAACTTAAAAGCTCTTTGCTGTTGTGCGCAGAAGACATGAGTGTGATTTCTGAGTGCCTAAGTTTTTGTTTTAAAAAAAAATCAAGTGTCCATATATATGTTTTCGTGGATGTTGTATCACTTTCAGCCTGGTTGGGCAGTGACACAGCTTGCTGTTAAAGTTGAGAAGCAGCCTGTCCCCTAAACAGTCTAAATTGTGTCAGTAGGGCAGGGGGACAATACATTCACAGTATAGCCTATTAGATCTTATAATAAAACTAGATTCTGAATTCCTATAGTTTATTTATATTACAGTGGAAGCCTGATATAACAGGGATGGTGGGACCATTGTAAAAGTCCTTATATCAGATCCCTGTTAAATCAGAAATGCAAGGGAAGTAAGCATTTGTGAACTAATCCAGCTGTATTTATTCAGCTTCCCATGGCCTGCGTATGACTCATTATGCATGCGTGTAGCTAGGCTTAGGGCTAGATCGAAGTCTGCAGCACACCGCAGCCCTCTCTTGCTTCAAACGTTGCGTGTGCTTGCAGTGGTGTGGTTTGCGTGTGCTTGCTCCATCATGCGTTACTCTCTCTCTCTCTTATTTTTTACACATTGGTAATGGGTCTTTGTCCCTGTTATAACCGATGGGCTCTGATGAGGCTCTTTTATTTCAGATAACTTTTAATAGAGACATTTCTTTGCTCGGATGCTCTTAAAATAAAAAAAGCTACATTACCCTGATCTTTCCCCATGACCCATCTGTTTAGGTTCTATACCAAGTAGGTTGCTCAGGGCCTACCGCTGCCTCATTTGTTTTCAATTTTGACAGTGAGAGCTAGAGATGTTCAAGACCTTTATGCCTTTCATTCAGGTGTCCCAGAAACTGCATTTGTCTTTTTCTGATTGTTTTTATGAGTGAACGTCCCACTTGGGCTTCTTCAAGTACTACTACTACTACTACTACTACTACCTCATTTGATTTCTTTCCCTTCCACGATATTCTCAGCAGTCTCCCAAGAGACCACATTTCTGTTTCTTCTTTTTTATTTTCACTGTCTTTAGACACTTTAGTGATTGTCCAGCATTCACAGCCATATAGAAGGGTTGACCATACATTGCATTTCAGAACTTTCATTTTGGTAGTCATTGATTCCTATTTTTCAGGATTGGGCTCATTTTATTGAAACTATCCTTAGCCATTGTAATTCTTTGTTTTATTTCTGTGAAACGTTTGGCATCTGTATCTATTTTTATATTTTTGTATCTTTCATGGCAATTTTAGATATACAGTCAAACTTTGTACCGCCCCCTGTTGTTCTGCCAGTCCCGCTTACCACCAGGTTTTGCTAATGTACGAAAAGGGACGCCTATATATAAACAGAGCATGTATGCCTAACACCACCATCTGTCTGAGTTGTACTGTCCTTATAAAACTAAAGTAAATTGGCTCCGCTGTACCGCCAGAAGTGCACACGATGCACGGCACTCACTGGTTGGCTGCTTGATAATCTTTCTCCCTCGAGAAAAACTGAGATAGAGAGAGAGAAGACTATCGGCTTTGAATACATACGTGCATGTACAGATATGACTATCACCACCAAAATAAACCCCAACGCTTTTCAAACACAGATCGCACAGCAGAATCTTGTTCCTTGACGATGGGTAGTCGGGGCTATAAAACAAGAGGAACTCTGTTGAACCGCCAGCCCCGCTGTTCCTCAAACTTTTTGCTCGTCCCAAGGGTGGCGGTATAACGAGGTTTGACTCTATACAAGTACATGTATATTGTCCGAGTCTGGCTTGAGCAAGTTGCACTTGTGAATGCAGTAAATAAACAGTTGCTTGAAATACTAGGGCAAAGTCACTGTGTTGGTGATAATTTACTTACATTTATTGTCTCTGTTGTTGGTTTTGTGACGAGTTGTGTATTGGTAGTTGCTAGTAGATTGACTGTGTAAGTGTTGGGCAAAATGTCATGAAATCTTGACCTATTGTAAGCTGTACGAAGGATTGCTTGCTGACAGGATTTTTGTTTTGTTTATTTGAGTAAAGTGAAGCACATCTACTTGATAATGGTCATTTAGTGCTTGGACAAAAGGAGAGAGACAGATAGAGTAAGTATAAATGTAAGTAAGAGAAATAGTAAAGAAGAAGGATCTACCAGTGGTGCTTTCCAATCACCTGCACTCACAGGAGCTATTAAATGGCTTCATTGGTGTAGTGGTTAGGCCCTTTATTTTTCATACAAAAGATGTGAGTCTGATTCACATCAGGAGTGGTAGGCTATTTTCCTGAGAGTCTGTTTTTCTGCTGATATTCTGTATCCCTCTCAGATCTGGTTGGCACAGCTGCCTTCTAAATCATCAAAATTGTGTTGGTAGGGTGACAAGCACCTTTATGCTGTCTGGTGCTAATATCTAGACCAAACACCCCAAGCCTAGTTGGTGGCCTAGTGGTTAGGCTTTCAAACTTGCAACCAGAAGGCCTGGGGTTTGAATCCCATCAGGGACCCGAGGCTTGGTCCTTGGGAAAGGCACTCTGAATGAATTTTCTTCGCTCCACTCAGGTGGGAATGGGTACCCATAACCCAGCTATAGACAGCGTAGAGTATGTAATGCTGTAGAGCGCGGATGGCGGACATGCACTAAATGCAATTGACTTGCCAGTAGCTCAACTACTCAACTAGTATCACACTGTACATGTACATGCTTTTGGTATTGCGTAACTCTTTCCATGTGAAACGGGTTTCCATGATTGTGCCTGACCAGTGTGTTGTAAAAGGGACAGGTGATCTGAGAATCGAACCCACAACCTTTCGTGTACTGCAAGTTTTAAGTCCTATCACAAGACTGTGACTGTGACATTTACTTGCATTTTGAAACCATTCCATACCTATATACACAACAAACAAAGTCAAAGAAACTACAAAATATACAGTATAAAAAGTTTATTTCATGTAACTGCCTGCCAAGAAGGGCTTCATTATGAATATAAATTACTGTGACTTATTCGTATAATCAGAATTTTACTGCTGGAGCAAAACACTATAGTTTTCTTGTTTAGTTTGAGTAATGAGAAGCACATCCACACTGCCTTTTAATCATTTAGTGCTGGGGAAAAGCAAGACAGTAGACAGAAACAACAGATCAAAAAGATGATCATACAGTTCTATTTATTGGTCATATATTATATAGTTCTATAGGGTTAAATGCACAACAGCAAGATAATGAAAAAGATAAAGAAAAGGCTTAAAAGTGAAGGCCTAAGGGTCCCTTTACTTTACACATGCAGTTCATTCATCGACAAACCAACAGTTTAACCGACAAACACTAGATCTGACTTATCGTTAAACGGACAGTTAGTCGATGAGAAGTTCCGTTTAGACGTACCGTTTTTTAATTCTTAGAGTGTCAGCCCTTGACACAACACACTAAACACACCAAAAAAATTAACTTGTTAATCTAGCATTAAATTGTGTTCCCAGCGTGATTTTAACTAATTTTGGGTCGCTGATCACGAAAATCTTATAATTTTTTTTCTCCATTTGACCAATATTTAGGAAATTTTTGGACCGTATTTCCAACTCCGCCTTGGGCAACATCAAAGAAGCCAAGCCGCTCCCTTGTCGTCATGCCTTCAGTTTGCTGGCCGGAAAATATCTAGCTTCGCCAGATATCTGGTGGTTGGACTGAGAACCCTTCGATATCGAGAGGATGGCTCGCTTTTACGCTCAGTTTTACCAGGAAGTTGATAGGACGCCCACCATTCTTTCGATATCCCAGTTTGTCGATCGATGAACTGCATATGTAATGGGGCTTTACATTGTGAAGTACATAGATCTATATAGTTATATTATGAAAAATATAAAATATTTCTATTCTAATAACAAGCCAGAGGGTGTGTAGCTAAAAGTTACTTTTGGTAATCTGTCACTGTCAGTATACACTTCATCTTCCTCTCTCATTATCTGTATCTCCTTGCTTTTAGTTTTAGAGAGAGTCATGGAGGGAGATCATTCAAGGCACAAGTGAGGACAGTACTGTATATTATTATTAACTCTTTACAGAGATCTCCGAGGGGGGTAAACCTACTACTGCCTGAGATAAAGAGTTAACGTGTGAGAATGTGTGTGAGAAAATAAGTGGGTTATAAGAAAAGAGAAACTTTGGCAGTATAGAGTGAGGAGTGTTGTATTGCTTGTTGTCACTGTTCTAGTTACTCTAAGGTATCGAAAAAAAGGGGGGACGGGGACAAGTGGTCCAAAATTA